TTAAAACTACATAATAATCTCTCTCGTCAGAGAGCTTTTAAAGTTGTGTGTGATTGAATCATCTATATATGCAGGCTGCCCCTGCAATTGCTAGTTTATCAGTTTCCTCACTATATATAGTACCATGAACAACAAATATAAGTAACACATAAAATGTTCATTATAGAGGCTTGAGAAAGACCAAGTATGTGTGTTTGGTAAGATGTTTTTCTATTCATCTTGGAAGGGTACAACGCTATGATGGAACTGACTGTCAATTGTTGCGGAATATAATGAAAATGAGCAAATTGCATTCGGTCCTTAATTCCCTAGAAAGATAGCAATAGATCACCGATGACTTTGACATTGTTCGGCTTAACTGATCAAAAGTACCTTCCAGGCATCAATTGTTGAAAAACACTTTTGAGTATGTTACAGAATGAACCTAGACACTTTACACAATGAACATAGGCTGTTTTTTAGTAGTGTACATAACCCATATATAGATAGCAGATTTGTAGGAATCTCTTTTATTTTCTATCCTTAGTTAGCACCTGATGTACATGTATATATATATATGTATCACTACATGGAATAACATACCAATTTGATTCTTCCATACCTTGTTAATTATATGGTATCAGAGCCACATCTGTGGCTTCGCCGGAGTTGAGTTTGTCTCGCCAGAGTTGACCAAAACTTTCCGGCAAACACGTGAGGTGTGTGTGTGGTCCATTCTCTGTCCAGCTTTGTTCTCTGAGATCAGCTTGATATTTTCAATCGATTGTTGGTTATCCTCTGATAGCACCAATTTTGGTCAGCTTTGAGTTCTTCTACTGTTTGGTTTATTGTTGGGATACTGAAGTGGTTGTGGAACAATATTCTTGCATCTGATTGCTTGTCTTGTGAATTGGTATTTGTTGAGTCTTCCTTGTAAGAAGCTTTGTTACAATTTGAGACTTGATATTATCTGTTGGGTCTTCCCTTATCAGAAACTTTGTTGGTCTCTGATTTTATTTGATTTGGGACATATTTGTTTGGTTCTTGATTTGTTTGAGTGGATTATTGAAGTGAAGTTTTGTTAAATAGATTGTTGACTTCGTGTTTACCGGAGATCTGTTTTGGCATCTTTTAGCTTTGGGGATCTCTGCTAATTTAATCGGTTTGTTATTCAAAGAAAAAAAATGATGGTAAAGAATAATAATGCAACAACTTCTAGTCCAACAATCTTGGTTTCGGATGAGTTTCTAAAATTCATTCAAAATCATAAATCAGTTAAGGAATCTTATTCAGTTACTGCCTTTGCTGGGTCAAATAAAACATGTTTTTCACATCTTCCAATAAATGGGTGATCGATTCAGGTGCCACAAATCACATGACAGGTAATCCAAATATTTTTTCTAGCTTTCACTCACATAAAGCACCCTCTCCAGTTACTGTAGTTGATGGATCAACTTGTAGCAGTATTGGATTTGGGACTGTTAAATAACTTCCTCTATTACCCTGTCATCTATATTAAGTCTACCAAACTTGGACCTTAACTTGATTTCTGTTAGTAAAATCACCAAAGACCTTAATTGTTGTGTTGCATTCTTTCCCGATCATTGTTTGTTTCTGGATCTTACAACAAAACAGGTTATTGGTAAATGATATTTATCCAGTGATCTCTACATCCTTGATGAATGGGAGCCACGGTCTATTGCATGCTCTAGTGTTGTGTCTCCCTTTGAAGCACATTGTCGATTGGTACACCCCTCTCTACCTTTGTTGAAGAAGCTTTGTCCTCAGTTTCAGAATATTTCTTCATTGGATTGTAAGTCATGTCGATTGCAAAATACCATCGCATCTCGTTAAGTCCAAGGGTTAATAAACGAGTTGAGTCAGCTTTTGAGTTAGTTCATTCTGATGTTTGGGGACCATGTCCCGTTGTTTCTAAAACTAGGCATAAGTATTTTGTCACCTTTGTAGATGATTTTTCTCGAATGACTTGGATTTACTTTATGAAGAGACGCTCTGAAGTGTTTATTCACTTTTCTGCCTTCTGTGCTGAAATCAAAACTCAATTTGACACTTCGGTGTGTATTCTAAGGAGCGATAATGCTAAAGAATACATGTCAGAGTTATTTTAGTCGTACATGAGACAACATGGTATTCTGCATCAGTCTTCATGTGTTGATACACCCTCTCAAAATGGAGTAGCTGAGAGGAAGAATATGCATCTACTTGAGACAGCTCGGACAACTTTTGTTCCGAATGAAGGTTCCTAAACAGTTCTAGGCTGATGCGGTCTCTACGGCTTGCTTTCTGATTAATCGCATGCCATCTACCGTGCTTGGTGGTAATGTGCCTTACAGTGTCCCTTTTCCAAACAAGGCATTATTTCCGGTGGAACCTAAGGTATTTGGAATCACATATTATGTTCGAGATGTTCAACCATCTATTACCAAATTGGATCCCAAGGCATTGAAGTGTATTTTTCTTGGCTATTCTCGCCTTCAGAAAGGGTATCGATATTATTCTACTGAACTTGGCAAATATTTGGTGTCAATTGATGTGGTATTTTCAGATACTATACCATTCTTCTATGCACATCCCATTTCTACAAGTCAGGGGGAGGAAGATGAGTGGCTAGTATACCAGGTTATACGTACTTTGACAGAACAACGAGATGATGTTCCTCCATCTCCTAGTTCTATCGAGCACCAATCTATTATTCTGCCTTCAGCACCAGCTCCAACTGTGTTAGAACGACCGCCAATCGTTCAAGATTACTTGCGGAGGCAACAGACGAATGATACATGTTCTACATCAGAACCTTCGTCATCAGTTCCTTCATCATCAAATTTACCTCCTCCTGACTCTCCAGAAGACCTTGACCTTCCAATTGCTCTTCGCAAAGGTATACGCACTTGCAAATCCACATATTCTATTGCTAATTTTGTTTCCTACGACCACTTGTCCCCTGCATATAGATCTTTGATTGTGTGTCTAGACTCTATTTCTATACCCAAAACGGTGAAGGAGGCTTTGAATCATCCTGGAAGGTCTGAAGAAATTCTTAAGGAAATACATGCCTTAGAGAAAAACCACACTTGGGATTTAGTGGATTTACCCAGTGGAAAGAAAGTAGTGGGATGCAAGTGGGTCTTCATGGTTAAACTTAATTCTGATGGCTCTGTGGCGAGACTTAAGGCCAAACTTGTGGCTAAGGGGTATGTTCAGACTTATGGGGTGGATTATTCAGACACCTTCTCTCCGGTTTCCAAAATTACTTTTGTCCGCTTGTTCATTTCTCTAACTGCTTCTGAGAATTGGCCTTTGCATCAATTGGATATTAAGAATGTTTTTCTTCATGGTGATCTCCATGAAGAGGTATATATGGAGCAACCACCTGGTTTTGTTACTCAGGAAGAGTATGGCAAGGTCTATCATTTGAAAAAATCCTTATGTGACTTGAAGCAGAGTCCCTGGGCTTGGTTTAGTAAATTTAGTGAAGCAGTTCAAGAATTTGGGCTGAAAAGAGCAAATGTGATCATTCTGTCTTCTACAAGTAATCAACAGCTGGATCTATTCTCTTTGTTGTATATGTGGATGATATTGTTATCGCATAGAGTGATTATGCAGGAATCTCTTCTCTCAAGTCTTTCTTGCATACTAAGTTTCATACAAAAGACTTGGGACAACTGAAATACTTCTTGGGAGTAGAAATAACTAGAAGCAAGAAGGGAATTTTTCTATCTCAGAGAAAGTATAGTCTTGACTTACTAGCAGAAACTGGTAAGCTGGCTGCCAAGCCTTGCTGTATTCCAATGGTTCCTAATTTGCATCTTATGAAAGATGATAGCGATCCATTTAATGATCCAGATAGATACAGGAGGTTAATTGGGAGATTAAACTATCTCACAGTGACTCGTCCAGATATTGCTTTTGTAGTGAGTATGGTTAGTTAGTTCATGTCCGCGCCTACAGTTAAACATTGGGAGGCTTTGGAGCAGATCTTATGTTACTTAAAAGGAGCTCCTGGACTTGACATATTATACAGTAATCACGATCATTCTCACATTGATTGTTTTGCAGATGCAGATTGGGTTGGATCCAAGATTGATAGAAGATCTACTACTGGTTACTGTGTATTTGTTGGTGGAAACTTGGTATCATGGAGAAGTAAGAAACAAAATGTTGTATCTAGGTCCAGTGCAGAATCCGAGTATAGAACTATGGCACAATCAACATGTGAGATAATGTGGATATATCACCTTTTAACTGAAATTAGGTTAAAGCATCCTACTCCATCAAAACTCTGGCGTGATAATCAAGCTGCACTCCATATTGCCTCAAATCCAGTGTATCATGAAAGAACGAAACATATTGAAGTTGACGTCATTTTATTTGTGAGAAGATTTAGGAGAACTTGATTTCCACTGGCTACGTGAAGACAGGAGAGCAGCCAGTTGATTTGTTCACTAAAGCATTGAATGACACTCGAGTTGATTACCTTTGTAACAAGCTGGGCATAATCAATATATATGCTCCAGCTTGAGGGGGAGTGTTACAGAAACTTAGACACTTTACACAATGAATATAGGTTGTTTCTTAGTAGTGTACATAACCCATATATAGATAGCAGATTTGTAGGAATCTCTTTTATTTTCTTTCCTTTGTTAGCACCTGATGTACATGTATATATATGCATCACTACATGGAATAAACAATATTGCTTACTTTTCTTTGTTTCAGTATTGCAATCACTAAAATAGTTGTAGCCAAGGTCGGAGCTAGAGTGATGGAAGCAGATTCGACAGAACCCAATAGCCTGGGTTCAAGCCCTGTATTTATCTTAAAAATCCATTGAATATATATAAATTATTAATTTAGAACCCAGTAACTCAAAATGATTAGAATCTCAAACTCATAAGCTTGAAATCATAGCTCCGCCTCTGGTTGTAGCTCTGTCCAAACATGTACCAGTATCAAATACAAGGAGAAACAGGAAATGAAAAAAATTGCAGAAACAAGCGAACTTCAGATGTGCATAAAATATATTTATGCAAGCGTCAAATTTCTGTATATTTTTTAACAAAAAAATTGTTAATTGTTAACAAAAAAATTTCTGTCCATAAAATATATTTATGGGAACTTGTAATGGCAGACTGCTACCTGTGAGATTAGATCAAGATGACTACCCAACGTGAGAAATGCTGTTACTATATGGACAGGGACAAAATACCATTTACAGGGGGCAAAGCCCATGAACAGGAAGGTTACTACTCTCAGTCCTCTTCATGGCACTTTATGCATGGTACATGAACAAGCTGCTTCCAACAGAACATCAAATAGTGCGTTGGATGCCAAGCCAGATGCAGCAACATGGACTTAAGATTACAGGAAATCTCATTTTCTGAGCTATCTTGTCCTGAAATTATCAACAAAAAGCAATGTAAATGAGATGACAAAATATGCCAGGTTTCAAAGCCAGGAGGTTAGATCTGCCACCAATTGATTGATGAATTATGGACCCTTACAAGGGTAAAACCTTGCCCATATCGGTGACCGGGGTTTAAACCAAATCAATGAATGCAAGGCATGTATCTTATTCACCCATTTATCACTTAATCATAGTTAATTGATATGTATTCTCACTTTAAATTTTAATTACTAGGGTAAAATTCATTGGCTTGGTGTAAACAATAGGTGTAAAATTCACTTCATCATGCACAAGCACATGCATGGCTGTTACTAGCTACCTTGACGATAAAATTCTCGAGTCAAGTTGCTCAATGACGACCTTCGAGGCCTTGTAGTAGCTTGAGAGGTTGGTTTCCTACAAATTCAAGGAAGAATGAAGCATCAATTCAAGAATATAATAGAAGAAAGACAATATTAAGATCATTTTAGTACAAGGGTTACCTATTTGGACTTTTTCTAACTTCCAGTGTGATGCCATCTTCATTCTCAGATCCACAAGAAAATATAAGAAGACAATTGCTAAATCAACAACAGATTACCAAATTCCATCATATGTATAGAAGATCAACAAAATGAAAGTACAATATCACAACATCAGTACAACATTTCATATGTTGACATAAGTTAGAGCTGTGATAAACCTGTAAGATCCAGTTGCAAATTGAAGTCCATCTCCATTCAGGCAGCAATCAAACTTATCGAAAATGGCGTCATTTGTATACAGCTTAGAAAGCTGCCACACAACATGTATTATATCAATTATACTGCAAATCAGAAAATACTATCAATCTATTTGAATAAATAGCATATTCACACGTTACACCACATCACCAACTGTTTATTTCTCAGTACAACTCTGAGAAATGCCTGTGATGAAGACCCTCATACCTTAGGGCGCAGGTGTTCATGAATCTTATACGTTGCAACTGGGGAAGTCTCCATGTGAGTGTGTCCCATAACTATCAAATAGTTAACAATTAAGATATAATTACAGATCCATCTAATGATAGAGAATGTAAAACGTCAAAAGAAGTCAAGGATCACAGGAAATAAGAACCAAACAAAGCCATAGATTATTTGTATGTCACTCAGAGATGAAGAGAACAAAGAAGATTCCACTAATGAGAGATGAAAGAATCAAAATGAAGCGGCATAGAAAAAGGCAAAAAACAAAAACAAAGGTAGAAGCAGAAAATAAGATGAATACACTTTTAAGGACCCATAAAATGAAGTCGCGCAAATGTCAGAAACACTGAATTCCCAGATAAATAGTGCATAAATCACCTAACCGAGGAGTAAAACATGGGTGAGAAGCACATATCAATACAACTTCCATCCTTTTTCAATCACTCGGTTTTGTTTCTTGCATGTTAAATTGAAACTTTTAATAGTGCATAAATCACCTAACTGAGGAGTAAAACATGGGTGAGAAGCACATATCAATACAACTTCCATCCTTTTTCAATCACTCGGTTTTATTTTTTGAGGAATGTAATTAAAGATCAATAAACTGCATATTATATGGTTAAAAATAAGGGTCAGATTTTTAAGATTCTAAAAACACAATTGAGAAAACTCAAAGAAAAGTTTGTTTTAACCCCTCAAACAAAAACGGGACTGAGGGAGTAAGAAATACTTGACTTCTTTTCTTTTCTTGACAGATAGCACCAAGTTCAAAGAAATGCAGGTATGACAACAAATCATTGTTTATAGTGTGTATTATCCAGTAAAAGGATCATCGAAATTGAGAAGACCTTCAGAGTCATGTAATCACGACTTAAGATATGCCTTCCATCCATTGCATACTTCATATCAGATATGGAAGTTATGATTTCACTGAAAAGTGTTTTTGGGCCACGGCTCCCCCCATCTTGCAATCTGTAAAAGTAAGTTGCGGGTTGTTAAAATAAGTACCGGAAGTTGTGTCAGGGCAGCAGATTAGAAGCTGAAATGCGTCATACAGATGAGAGAAATAAAATAGAGATGGGAATAAAACTCACATTTTCACACTGTGATCACATAGTGCAGATTTCCTCATGTCAACAAGTCGGATGAATCCCCGTGAACTACTATAAGCCAACAAATTGCAGTGAAATGGATGGAATTCTGTTGATGTAATCACCTCTACATAAAAGAATGGCCCAATGAGCATTTTATCCTTTATTAGGTGGCAGCCTGGTCAAATTTTTTATGCAAAAAAGAAGCATAGGGTAATGAAACTAATTTAGCCTAATGACTTTATTCTACCCATGTCATAAGGTAGATAATCATCCTCAAATTTATTGGTCAAGTCCTCTTCAGGGAGAGGAGTAAAGGCAGCTTCAGATTCCTTCCAAGCATTCTTTTTATAGAGTTAATTCTTTTTTTTTCCGCATGCATCTTTGGAATTACAGGATAAACCTAATAAAATAATGGCCCGGCTATTATTCTTTGATTGCTTGCCTCCACAAATCTTTTGAGAAGATGACTAATGCAGTGCCAGTTGTTCCAAACTTTTTCCGAAATCCTAAATAAGCATATGGCAACACCACCAACACCCCCCCCCCCCCC